TCTTAATCTCATCTTTCGGAGAAACTGGTGTGACTAACATACCAAAAATACACTAAAAATACACTCAGTATTCTTTTCTGACAAATACATTTACAGTACGTTTACCATTTGGTTACTTTTTTTAGCAAGAAAATATCTTTGATTCATCAAAGTAACCTCCTCAAGCAGTTATAATAGCAGGACATTAAATACTCCTCCGTTTCATGAGATGAAACAGTTAGTCGTCACCACACAACCAGTTAATAGGATGTCAGACAGTCACATACTTTTTCCATGTTATAAAGGAAATTTGTTTTATTTGACTTATATTTTCGTTTACAGTTGTTCGTGTAGCTTAACAAGAATTAAAAAATCTGCAGTTTATGAAATAAGTAGAAAAGTGATAAAACGCTGTGGTGTGCAGAAGCTTTCTTCCGGTAGTGTGTGTGTGGCGAGATTCTACTCTTTATATCTCCCTGAGAATGATAGACGGGCAGTGATGCCTTGACGCGGGTCTCTGCCGATGGGCCAATTGTGCTCCAACAGTTCACCATTAATGCTGTTGTTTTTTTTTTTTTTACTTTTCCTCCTACCTGCAGTCCAGTACGGACTTCCTGGCCGTGGTTCTCGAGGGGACGAAGCTGCGGTGGATGTACAGGCTGGGTGGACAAACTGCTGATGATCTAGTGCAGGAGGACATTAAATCGGATGGTAGCTTTAACACCGTCGTCCTGCAGAGGTCAGTCACGCTCTCGCAAATATCTGTTCGGGCTTCCGTCATCTGTTCTTCCAAGTGGATCGTGCTCAGAAGGAATTATACACAGAAATGGGAGTCTGAATAAAAAAAAGGATGAGTGAAAATGAATAACATTTAAATGACTAAAAACTTTAGAAATAAAAACAATAGACAATAAAAATAATGAGCAATTACTTTGTTTTCTGTAATTATATATGATAGTTGGCCAGAAGATTGTGTAAATGATTCTTGATTATGTTTGTCCTTAGTGATAATTACTTATCATTAATGTGTTGTTGATTATCTGTTTTAGAGTGGTATAGAGATTAACCATGGTATGTAATATCTATATGAGGAACTGAATGTTTCGACACGAGTCACTGATCCAAACAAACATCTCTCCCAGGACGTTGCAGTACGGACAGATCGCTATCGGCTTGGGGGAGCCCGATCAGGATCAAGTGAAGAAGACCACTATGGGGAAACTGGAGGTCAAAGGTGACCACGGCCTTCTGAACCTGCCCCCAGAGGACACCGTCTTCTACGTGGGGGGGTTCCCTGACACGTTTAAGGTGAGAGCAGCCGGCCCTGCGCTTTCTCCTTGATGCACCTGAGTGTTGGTGCCTGCTATTTCCATCCTGCGGAAGGAGTCACTTTAAAGCCCTCGCTCTTCCTCCTCCTCCTCAGCCTCCCCCCGAGCTCCCGAAAGCAGGCTTTGAGGGCTGCATCGAGCTGGAGACCCTGAATGAACAAATAGTGAGCCTCTACAACTTTAAGCAGACCTTCCAGCTGGACACCACCGCTGTCAGGCCTTGCGGAAGGTAGGCCTGGCACCCCTGCCGGGTCCGTGCAGGGCCCCCCCCCAGCATCCAATCGAGTTCTGTTCTGCTTAGCATTTTAATACAGTTCTCATTCATGATGACTCGTATCTTTAGGGTCAAGCCAGTCTTGAACGAGCCTTGGGTCAATGACGGCGCATACTTCGACGGCACTGGGTATGCAGAGATCCCCCTGCCATCGTCAGAGACCAACCAGAAGCGGTTCGAGCAGGAGGTCCGTGTGCTGTCCCACAGTGGCATCTTGCTGCTGCTTCAAGACCAGGTCAGCACCGCATTACTAGCTCAGGTTTTTCTGTAGGTGCGCCTATTAGAAGGTATGCGGTAGCATGATTCCTTCTTGGGCCATTTTGTTTGTGAGGGGTGTGAATCAGAGAATGTCGAACGCTGAAGAACATCAAAGCACATTTTTTGGGGCCCACCTCATCTGCCCTGTGTGTAAAATGATGTTTGGGCATCTTCTCTTCCCAGACGAAATTCCTGTGTCTGGCCATCATCCAGAGAAGGCTGAAGCTCTTCTATGACTTAGGTGCTGGGATGGAGGAAGAGACTCCTATGGCAAATCGGTTACCAGAGGACTTTGTGATCAGTGACGGGAAGAACTATGTGGTGAGATGTCACCCTCCTCTCGTTTTCCATCCGCCGGGCGGCCATTTTGTATGTCGATAATCAGGAAGGTGTGACCGAGCCTGAGGTTTGGCTCATGACTGCGCTGCCTTGTCCCCCTCAAGGTGGAGATCATCCTGCTCGGCAATGCAGACTCCCGAGCAAGACTGCTCTTACGCAAAAACAGGACGCCCTTGTTCCAAAACAACAACCTCAATGGCTCCATTCCCAACTTCAGTGGGGTTTACTACATGGGAGGAGTTCCTGCTGATAAGCTTCCTCAAAGGTGAGAGAAGGTGGGAGGGGCACTAGAGGAAGGTAGGGCAGCCTATTGGCCAGAGGTTTATATAGGGGCGTGGCCTCAGAGGCACTGGTCCCAACTGGAAGCTGATTGGCTTCTGGAGTGCCCTGTCCCATGTTATAAGGTTGGCTCCCTAATATGAATTACAGTACCTTTTATGCTCCCCACCTATAAAAATCCTAGAAGTATCTCTACTACTGGCCATGAAACAGAAATACACACTTTAATCAAAATGCTATTTATCCCAAACAATTTCCTGCCCCATGTGTGAATAATTCAATTATGGATTAATTGCTAATCTTTTGGTAAATGAAACACGTTTTCAGACAAGTAAAACAGTGTAATATTTATTTGTCTATTTATTTATTTTGGACAGCCTGAAGAGTCTTTACCCTGATAAGACGTCTATCCGGGCTTGCTTCAGGAACATCAAAGCCATCAGTGCTCACATCGACCTGAAGAGGGTCAACACCTCTGGGGTCAGCTACGGTTGTCCTAATGACCTCCTGGTGAGTAGTGACCCCTATTTTGGGACAATATAAACGGATGTATTCCTGACACAGGGGGTGGGGTGTGGCTATGCAAGTTAGGGGCTTCATCAGAATGTTGGTGGTTCAGATCTCATGTCAAAGCTCAGGTCATAGCTGTTTGTTTACTCTCTTTCTGGTCATACTTGCTCATTAGCGCCCTCTCTGGCCGGAGCTGTGCGTTCGCGCCTTTACAGGCTGCTCCTTCCCCAGATCGCCAGACAGGCCTATTTCTCGGGTGTGGGTTACCTGGAGCTGCAGCCGCAGGAAGTGTCCCCCCTTCAGGATGGCTACTACGCCGGATTTGGCTTCCGCACCGACCAGACACATGGACTGATGTTCTACCACCAAGCCAATGTAAGGAGCTGCATCTCTAGTCAAGTGGATGGATGAAAGGATGGATATATTAATGGATGAATGCAGTACAGAATGCAGAGTAACTTCCCTGTCAACTGAAGTGTTCATTCTCCAACGCCGTGATGCTAAAGTTAGGGCAGATCTGAGGTTCATAACCATCAGCGCTTTTTCCCACGTCTCCTTGACGACGTGGTTCAAGTCCACGTGCGGCTTCATGGCGGGCCTCGATTTCCATGTCCATCTTCCCACAGAACAACACCTGCCAGGTCTACCTCGATAATGGCCATGTGGTGGTGGAGTCGGGCAACAGTGCGGCGAGGACTCTGAAGACCTACAATGATGAAAGCAATCACTACATAGCCTTCTACAGCAGCAGTCAGGGGTAGGCAAGCCAGTCACATGTGCGTTGGGCCACGTCCGGACAGATCGGTGCTGCCGTGTCGTTGGTGTTGACTGTCTCCCCCTTCAGGCTGCGCGTGTTAATGGACGACGTCTTGGAGAAAACGGTGGACTTTTCCGCGGCTGGGGCCGGCAGCATGGAGACAAGGGAGGACGGCTTATATTTGGGGGGGGCACCACAGATGTCCAACATCACGGGCTGCATCAGCAACTTGTTCATCAAACGGTGAGGGCGAGAGACAAAGAGGAAGGGGTCTCATAGTGTGCTTGTATCACAGCGAGGATGTTTGGACCTATTCATGTTGACATAATTTACAGCAACAGTAAAATGTGCCATTTGTGTAAAATTTCATTTTTGATTCACTGGATGGTACTGTTGCGTCACACCTCTAGGATTAGGGGTTCGAATCCCACTTCTCTCTGTTTGTGGAGTTGGCTTGTTTCACCAAGAACCCTGGCTTCTACCCTCAGTCCAAAAACATGCGGTTAGGCTAATTGGTGACTCTGAATTGCTTGGTGTGAGTATGGACCCTGTGAGAGACTGGCTTCCCGTCCAGGGTGGACCCCAGCCTTGTGCCCTGTGCTGCCTGGAGCAGGCAACCCCAACAGCATAAGTAGTTAGAAGATGGGTGGGTGGATGGATGGAATAATGCTCAATTCAAAAAGGGAATCTAAACCTATCTAATGTGTCCTCAGCATGTCGGAGTTCCAGATGGTCGTGGACCTGGTGACAGCGAAAAGAAACGTGGATATCCTGTTTACCTGCCCTGCTGCCAAAAGACCATGGAAGATCATGGCCCCCACTCGCAGTATGAAGGTGGGGGGGTGGTCCCAGCTAGCTGGTGGGGGGGGGAGGTGGTCAAACAGCCAAAGGTAACACATAGAGAATTTTCCATGTTGCACCCAACAGGTGAAGGGCAAGAAAGCACACGGAAGGTCCAGGAGCCGTAGCACACGGGAGTCCTGTCAGGCAGAATTAGCCTCCCACCAGGAGGGGGCGCTGCAGTTCAGCAGCTCCTCACAGAGCTACCAGCGCTTCGACACACTCCCTGACAGCTTCAGGAAGATGTAAGCTCTACAGTGTTGCGACCTCTTCCAGATAATGCACAATTTTCTACATGAAAAGTTAGCCGACATGCTAAGTTAAAGGAATTACAATAGCTGCTCCTGCTGTCTCCACCCAGGCCCCATTTCTCCCTGGGGGTGCGTGCGAACTCCTCAGAGGGCCTGATCCTGCATGCTGCTGGGGAGGGGGGCAGAGCCGGGATGGCGCTGTCACTGTCCAGTGGGCACTTCGTCTTGCTCGTCAATGGCGGCCGCAGGAAAGCTAGTGTACGCAGCCGCAGGAAGTACGACGACGGGCAGTGGCACACGGTGAGAGACACGGGGAATGCTAGCGGTGTGGAGCTAATCGGGTTAAGGATCTGCGCCCGGGAGGTCATGGGTTCCAATAACCTCACCATCATTGAGCCAATCGCTTAACCTTAAAAACTGACTCTCAACCAGCGGCGTTGTTTATCGCAACTCAAACCATGCATTTGCTTGTGGCCCCTGAGGTTTGCCCCCCCTGTTGGCCACAAACAGTCATTGCACCAAGTATTAAATATATATGTTCCGAGATGCTGAAGCAGCAAGTACTGCTAACCAGCTAGTTAGCTACCATCCTCTGATGCTGCTTACTAGTTATTTATTTGGTTTTTGAAGCATCTGATGTCACTCGTGAAAAGATTCCCCACCTGCTGGTTTATAGCGATGCGTTCTTTTCCAATCATGCCAGGTCTTCGTCAGGAGGGATGGCGAGATGGTCAGCTTGGTCGTTGATGGAATCAACTCTCAGACTCGAAGGGTGTCTTTTGGGGGGAAAAGCCGTCTGGTGCCCCCCCTCTACATCGGCGGTCTCCCTGTCGGACCCCCAAGTTCGGCACAAGCGGTATAAACACCTCCAATCTCACCTAAACAGCAAGGCTAGAATATATGTGGAATACATGATTGGATGATGGATGGATGATTGAAATCCAAATGGTCGTCGTGGAAACGTGGTGGTCTCCTTGGTAATGCAGGCACCTGGGTTTGCCGGCTGCGTCCGAGACGTGAAGTTGAAGGAGGAGCCTCTGGGGGCGCCCTCTCGCTCCGTGGGGGTGGTGCCCTGCTTCCAGGGTGCCCAGCAGCCAGGGCTCTACATCTCCAGCCAGGGTGGACACGTCTCAGTCGGTGAGAGCAACGTGGGAGGGCCCCCTGTGGCCTGGGGCACGGTCTGAGGCAGGATCAGAAGATCCATACGCGATCCTCTTCTGGCAGATGTTTCAGTGAACCTGTTTGGTTTTGAGGTTCAGCTAACAACCATCCTTCTTTGTAAGATAACACCCTGCTGGTGGGAGGAGACCTGGAGATCCAGCTGGAGATGCGTGTGGTTGGTGACACCGGCGTGGTGCTGCACGCTGGGGGAGGAGGAGACCGTCAGCTGACACTCTACCTGAACCGGGGGGAGGTAAGGGGGGGGGTCTTCCAGGGGAGTGTTCAGCTGTGTGTATCATCCAAACCAAAAACTTAGAGACTGAAAGTGGTAGCAGTAGTGAGCACTGTGTTGTTAGGACACTGTACCTGTGATCAGAAGGTTTCTGGTTCAAATCCCAGAACCACCAATGTTGGACCCCTGAGCAAATCTCATTGGACAAACTTGTCTGCTAAATACATGCAAATGATATACATGTAAGCTGAAAGATTTTCTGCAATGACCGAGGGCAAAAGGGTTAATTAACATCAAGCTACTGAATAACTGACAGGTTAAAAATTGGTAATGAAAGAAAATTGTTTGGCCATTGGTTTGAGGGTGAAAAGGCACCAACTACAGTCATGCGACACCCAAACTGCGTGTCATACGAACGTGATGCTATTGTTGGTTTCTGTGACATTACCTGACAGTGACGACATCTCTGATCTCTCCCAAAGGTCACAGTGACGGTGAATAACGGAAATGGCTCGTTCTCCGCCTCCCTGTCACCCGCGCAGTCGCTGTGCGATGGCCAGTGGCACAGCATGGCAGGCGAGTTGCTATTCATCCCCGTCACCCCCCCCCCCAGTCCCACCTCTGCTGTTCATCCCCGTCACCCAGGGGACGTTGGGCTCCCCGAACCCTAGGCAGCTCACACACAGATGCCCAGCTGGTGTCCCCAGTCGCAGTCTTTACCACCCCTCACATCATGCATTTGCTTGGGGCCCCTGAGGTTTGGGGGCCCCCTGTTGGCCACAAACAATCACCACACTAAATATTAAATTCCTTATGCTAACGCAGCATGATCCGCTAGAGCCACAATCTCCTGACTCTCTAGCTATTAATTTTGTTTTTAACACATCAGGGTAAGTGAGGGCCTAGAAACCACAAACCGCCCCCCCCCTGGGTGTCTTCCATCTCCCATTTTCCCCCCTGTCTCACGTTTGGGTCGCATTTGCTTTTCAGTCGTTAAGAAGGGCAGTTGGGTCCAGCTCGATGTGGACACAAGCAGTCGGCGCACCGCTGGGCCCGCACAGGGCGTCCGCGTTAGAGGAGAATCGATGCTCTACCTCGGGGGCGTGCCGGGTAAGCACTCACATCCGTGTTCTCCGCTCCACCGCACAGCACTGGCATCCATCTTATGTACTGGCCATTTCACTGGAGCTGGACAGAGCCTGTTAACCTTTTAAATTCCCTTCGGACAGATGGTGTTGAAGTCCCCGGCCTGCCGTCCCCTCTCCCCTCACTCCATGGTTGCTTCCAGGGGCTAATACTTAACCGGCAGCGTGTGAACCTGGCCAAACCACTCTCAGTCCACGGGGGGGTCGGAACCCAGGGCTGCCCCGTTGTGTAACAGCGACTCTTCTCTCACAAGACCTTCTACATGCTTGTAATCTTCGGTGGTGGGGCTAAACTTTTAACTTTTATTTAAACATATTTATGATTTTAAAATTGTTTATAAAATTTAAGGGAAAAAAAAAAAAATCAGCACTGGGTACCTTTAGTAAGTTGGTCAGTCTGGGCAGCAGTGTTCCATCACCTGCTGGACTGTGGATTTCAATCCTGATGCCCCCCGACCCCCGAGTGTGTGTGGAGTTTGCACGTTCTCCTAGTGCCGTGCAGGATTCCTCTGGGTACTCCAGTGTCCTCAGTCCAAAAACATGCAATTACGCTAATTAATATGGGGAACCCACAGTACGTGTGCATGCGTGTGTTCTGTGATGGCCCCTGTACCCCAGGCCTGTGATAGGCTCCAGGCCTCCTGCCGTATGAAAGTGGTCGATGAATGGATGGATGGATGGTTCCCTCCCTTATGTGACCAAAAATACACTTTTCAAAACACTGGGCTGGACAATGAGTTTGCCCATAACTTTAACCTGTTTGTCTCAAGTGCATTTGTTGTAGAAATATCTGTACCAGACTTTCCAGAAACAATTGCAGAACAATGGACCCCTTTGTACCTCATGAATTTTATTTTATTTTTCATTAGGTACTAAGTCAGACCAGCAGGGAACCTGTGAAGGCTCATAATGTCTAATCTGTAAAAGCTAAACAGAGACTAAACATTTTGAGTGCTGATACCCTTCGTTGTGTATTTTATATTTGGGATATTAATGCCAATCACATATTTCTGGATGCAGTATTTTAAAAATTTTAAATGTTATTTTTTAAAAGAATAAATATTTGAAATATTTTGTAGATATTTTGTGGGACCAGAGAATATAGCAGGTGTTCATTTTATACAAACATTTCGTTTAATTATACTACAATGTTGAGAACCGCACCGCTTCTGAAACGCACACCATCTGGTTCTCAATCCGTCTCCAAATTTCCACCTTGTTCCGCCCTCAGCCTTGCAGAGAAATTTCACAGGGACCTTAAAAACATTTCTCCTTGCCCTCATGCTTAAATTTGTTTCCCGGAGTCAAATAAAGCTGTTGACTTTTCAGTGAATAAAGTTCTTTTTGAAACAAGCTCGTGTTTACTCTCCTAGTGCTGCTGTCAGAAGATGTAAGCGCATCGCTGGGGCAGGAAGTGTAGCCTCATTACACGTTTCCATGGCAGCCAAAACATGCATATAAACTCTGAGATGGAGCCTCTCGCAGCCCTGCAATCACATTCGGAGAATAATCTACCATCACGCCGGGGAACTTCATGCCATTTCAATACCGATTTATTCATGCTTGTCTCATAGCTTCCATGTTATATAGACTGTATATTTAACGAAAGAAAGAGCAGAGTATCACTGATACGTCAGGCTAAATTAACAGCCTACAGTAAGGTCATAAGAATGTGAAAGGCAGGGGGCCACGGATGCCCTAATCCAAACTCATGTCCTCCTCGTCGTCATCCTTGTCCTTGGTGTCTCCCCCCTCGGTGTCCGTCTTTGCGTCTCCCTCCTCCATGGCCTTTGCGAACGCCTCCACGTCTAACAGGACAGAGGTTCTGTGCTTAATTCCCAGATTAAACCCGCCAACAAATCCCACCCGCCAGTACCGGTAAGTGCCATGGGAGGGCGCCCTAGAGCCGTACCTCCCTTATTGGCCGCGTCCACGGCCTCTGTGGGCAGCCCAAACTGGTTCATGAGCGGTCCCAACTGCCCGGAGGACAGTGCGCTGCTGAACATGCTCATCGCCTGTGGGGGGGGGGGGGGGGGGGGGGGGACATCACGCACCCATGGGATTACAGCTCGCTACGAAAGCAGCAGGACCCCCCCTCCCCCACAAAGGGGAGCTACGTCGTTTCTGGGACACACCCCCTCAGTGTAATGACTGTTTGTGGCCAACAGGGGGCTCCATGGCAAGCAGGGGCGTACCTGCTGGAACTGCGGGGAGGTGAGCGTGTTCTGGATCTCCTCGGCGCTCTGGGGCAGGGACTCCCCTGAGGGCAGGTAGGGCAGGAGGCGCTGCTGCACCTCGGCGTTGGCCAGGATGGGAGCCATCACCTCGGGGGTCAACACACTGGCCAGGTCCACTGGGGGCGCACAAATCATACCATCAGGATCCTAAACTGGAAACCCCCCATCTAATATGATCTAACAGATGGGCTGATAGCTGTAGTTTACTGTACCACTCCCCAACCCCCCCCCACAGCCCCATCCCAGTTTGCATCCTGGCCTTTTGACCTTTGACCCCAAGGCCCTATGTCATCCATGACACCCAAGCTCCTGCCTATGCCATAAATAAAGACTAACACCTCTCCCCCACTAGGGTCCGCCCTCCTTCCTTTGCCCGCTATCCAGCGCCCCCTCCTCACCTCCTTGGGCCCCGGAGGCCGCCGCCGGTACGTTCATGTTGGCCAGGATGTTCTGCAGGTCACTAAGCTGGATGGGCTGGGCGGGGCTGGCAGCCGCAGGCGCCGGCGGGGGGGTGGGAGTCGCAGGGTTGGTAGGCGTCACGGCCGGGGAGGAGCTGATGGTGGCTGCTGGGGTGGTGGGGGTGGTGGGGGCTGGGACCGAGGTGATGCGCGGGGCTGAGAAGGTGGAGGAGGGGGTGACGGCGGCAGATTGGCTACGGGAGCTGGGGGGGGGGGGGCATGAAATGATGGAAGGCAGTCAACAGCGAGTAGATTCACTTTCATTACAGATTCATCTGGGCTGAGCACCCCTGCTCCCCCCCCCCCACCCCTAGACAGCCAAATATCATCAAGACAGCAATGTGGACAAGACATCCCATATTCAAAGCGTTTTGGATTTCAGTGACATTTAATAAAGAGCCACAAGGGGGCGCCAAGTCTCACCTAGATGATGAGCCGCTGCCCGCAGGTCCTCCGCTGCCAAGCAGACTGGCGAGACCCGGACCTGCCAGGGCGCCCAGGCCTCCTGAAAGCATAGGGTGGGGAAAATGACTCCCACTGTCCCCCTGGGGGGCTTCAGGAGCCCCTCCATCCTTATTCATGACCAGAACGGTTTTTAAAACCTCAGAAATGCTCACCAAGGCCTCCAAGCCCAGTTGGTCCAATCAACTGCATGAGCTGGTTATGACTCATGTTTCCCAGAAGGCTTTGCAGGCCACCTTCACCTGTACAGTTAGGAGGAAACGTCAAACTCCGTTATTCTTATCGTCTAATGCCGGGCCATCACAGGTCAGGCATGGGCACACACACATAAAATCACACTGTTTGGGCAATTTAGAGGCACTAATTATCACTGTGTGCCTTTGGAAACGTGGGAGGGAACAGAGTCCCGATATCAAACCCACACACCATGGGGACATCATGCACATCCACGGAGCAGAAGCAGGACTTGCTAAAAGCTGCCGGACAGGACACATTTATATATATAAAAAAAAAAAAAAAGAAGCAGGACGTAAATCCCCACGCCTGGACATGTGAGGCAGTAGTACTACCCACAGTGTCACCATACTCCCCCCGCCCCCCACCCCAAAAAAAGGGTGCCCACATCAACTGTGTTTGAAAGTGGCTCTGATCATAATTAAGAAGGTTCTGAAAGAGCCCTTCACCCAGGGTGCCCCTCCCTGGAGAAGCGTGCAGGCCCGGGCGGCCCTCACCTCCGAGAGCGGAGAGCTCGTGGCCCCCGCTGCCCCCACTGCCCAGTGCGCCTGGCATGGGCGGGTTGTTCAGGTACTCGTTCACCTTGCGCGAGTGCTCCTCGTCCTTGTCCGTTTTGGGCTCCTGCGGGAGGGGAAATCGGGGGTGTCAAGACACGTCAAGCGCTCATCCCGGCACCTCAGCGACCTGCTTTATGATTCCCCTCATTTTCAGCCCAGGAAAGAGAACGTGACCTGTGGTCCTGACTCCCCTTCCCTGAGCACCGAAGGCCCCATACCTGCATCCAGAAGAAGAGTCTTTTGGTGCTGGCTTTGAACTTCAGCACATACACACGGCCCGTGGTGCACTGGTTCACCCTCTTGAACTCACAGTCTTCAGGGAAAATGATCAGATCCTGCAAAAGAAGGACTAGATCACCAAAGGTTCCAGAGACCCTGAATTCCTCTGGGATCAGTCAGAGATTATGTTCTCTTAAATGAATAAAACTGACATCGTCCTTCCATTATGGATCAGACCCAGCCTTGACACTCAAGCGATTCCTCTCCACCCCATGGAAACATCACACATACCAATTCAGCTCTAAACCTGGACCATGTACTGATAAACAAATCACTGGAAAAACAATATCTTTAGAAACCTTCCTAAGTCACTAAACTGCATATTTTACATATAAGAACGTGGTCATCATTTCCAGCCCCTGACTCAAAAAGTCACACGCAGCTTCAACATCACAATAAGGAACATGTAATTTAATATTTAGTGTAGTGCCTGTTTATGGCCAACAGGGGGCCCCAAACCTCTGAGGTTCCATCACCATGGATTACATAACCATATTTCCTAAATGTGTAACCAGGACAGGGCCACAGACAGCCCACAGTCAGGGGGCACGTGGAGGGAGAGATCCCGGGCGAGATGCCAGCCCAGCACAGCTGCCAAACACAGCAGGACCCCCCAGATTACTCCATAGATGGTATACAGAGCTGAGACAGGGCAATATGTGACTAGGAAGCTGTGCCTTGATTGGAAAGTGGCCAGTTAAAATCACTGGGACAGAGTGATTTCCCCACTGGGCCCCTCAGCAAGGCCCTTAACCCCCAATTGCAGCAGGGACTGTCTGACTCTGCTATCTCAAAAAAAAAAAGGTGTATAAAGCTTTAGATAATAGCATCTGCTAAATAAATTAATGTAAATAAATGCTCTTTGAAAGAACAATGGGAAGTTTCCCTTCTGCTTTCATGAAGCATCGAGGAATCGCCTTAACAGCTGACATACTGCCAGCATTAAAGTAAAGATATCCTCTAAAATGCCACTATGGAGGTTCAAGATGGCTGCATTTTAGTGATCTAAAGCCCAATACCCATCCATCTCCTACAAGCAGTCACACAATGAGCCTGGGGTCACCCCCAACACACCATGGGGCCATCAGGATCTATGCCAAAATATCCCAGAAAGCGGATTCCAGTTTAACCCTTAACACTAACACCGCAGTGCAATTAGCTTTGTATACAGTTTTCTGGCTGTAATATCTTTTGCTGTAATATTTTTCACGTTCATTAGTCCAGCTGTCTTGCCTAACTGGTGGTGAATGGACAGCATGCAATTATTAATAAATACGTATAAAAATGTATTACATGAAAGTTACATGGTGTGCATTGTCCCCCATGGTTTAATGCTTAAAGCACACCTTACAAGACACATCTGTATCATTTAGGTTTATACTTAATCCATAAATAAATTCTCTCTTTTGCACTTTAAACAGACACCGTGCAGTTATTAATGGTAACGGAAAAGTACTGTGGCATTTTGCAATGTCTATCCCACCTTTGTGCGAGTCCATTTTTTCCCAACCATTAATTTTTTTCCCTCCGTGTCCCTTACGGAGCTCAATACTCTCTGCAACAGGCTGCCAGATAGCATGAAGAGATTCCAACACGACAATTTGAAATCCACCCAATCTGTCAACACTGCTTTGGACCGATCAAGGCTTTAATCACGTGATGATGTACCAGGAAAGGCAGACGCGTGTTAGGTGCGCACGTAATTAAAAGCTGTCACTTTTTTTGCCTTATTAGTTTTTATTTTATTTTTTCTTGGATTGTGAGATGCACTGGAATGAAAAAATAGCCGCAAAATAAAAAACCTAGGCGCACTGGCAATCATTTTAGTCGCCATCTGGAGCCCTGCACATCCGTTCGTGTAAGCACACAGGCCTGCACATCCGTTCGTGTAAGCACACGGGCCTACTAAAAGTCTTGACTTGGCTACGGCACACATCTTTGTCTCAGTAACCAGCCTCACTCACATGTTAGTGCCTTTGTGACCATGGAATCTCACGTTTCTCTCTAACTTTTAAACTTTTCAGTGGTATTAATTTTGCATTTTAATAACGAGCCCAAAACGCAGTGCTCCCAGTGTGTACAGTAGTAACTTTGTACATACAGGGGCACAATTTAGACGATCCGTATATCATATAAAAAGGTCTTGATAGGCAATGACAAAGTAATTTAACATGCAAAGTGTACAGTACAGTATTGTCTGTTAAGAAATTGGTAATAAACAGAATTTTATGTTATTGTTCAGGTCAGCAGACTTATGGGTAGACATTGGGAGTCCCAAGTATTATTGGTGAAGTGTCACATTCTCGCGGATCTGCTGTCCCTAACCCCTATGAATGTGAAGGGGATACTGTATGGAGTCCTAAGTCACAGTCATCTTTCATCAATATAAAAACCAAGGTATGCAAATTAGGACAACTATTCAACACCATGCTGCATCAAAAAGAAGGGGGGTGACCAAATCGTGCTGGGGAGACTAACTAAGAAAGCTGGTAGCAGCTGTGCAACCAGCAGGAAAGTTAGCCTGGAGGCCTGTCCAGGGAGTCCGATTAGCCAAAGCGCATCATGAGAACAGCCAGGGACATTTCTTTGGTTTTTCAAATGACTCTCCTGGGCCAGTGGGAGAGAGACTAGCAGAGTCACATGGGCTAGCTAGGGTGACATGGCAAGGACCAATAGGAGAGAGACTAGCAGTCACATGGGCTGCCTGGAGTGACCTCACACATTACCGTTGCATAGGCAAACGGGAGAGAGACTAGCAGGGTCACAAGGGCTGCCTGGGGTGACCTCGCACAATATAGGCTGAATTGACAGCCACAGGCAAACACGCATCACTTCCTTATACCTGACTGACTCTGAGCTGGCTGGGTAGGGCTTGTGTTGGTATTTTAAATTTGCTGGTGTTGTTTTACAAGATAGTTTTCATAGTATTGGGATACTGTTGTGCATGTTATTCTTAAAGGACCTTTGTCCCCATTTTGTTAGCAGAAATAAGGTCTCTTTGTTTAAAACTTGCCATCTCTGAGGCTCTCCCTACTACATTCCACACCACAGACTGTGTCTGTCTACCATACAGAGCCTCAATTTGCCTTTGGTGCCAGTAGAGCACACAGCGCACTCTTGTGCCTCATTTTTCCCCACTGAGGCATTTAGATCTGTAGTATGTACAGTGGAGGGGTTTACCAGGACTTGAACCATGCATCCGTGTGGTTCCCAAAGGTCTAGGGGCACCCTGTTGATCATAAAGTTACTACACTGGGCTTGGAGGCAGACAAAGTAATAAACCTACCTCTGAACATGTGAATATGTGATTAATTATAACCACTGAAACACCATCCAGGACTTCAGACTAACTCATTGCATTGGTTGCACTAATGCACCTAACTGATTCATTTAGGTGCCCTGCCACAAAACTTTTCACAACACAGATGTGTTTCTTTGAGACATGTTTTTTTTTTTTTTTTTAAGCGTTTCAATTAGGAATGTTGATGGTCTGACAACAAAAGCACTGTCACTGGGCATCCTTTGGCCACATCCTTTGCAGTAAACGCAGTGCATCACATTGCCCATTTTATTGTACGTAAGCCACAGACACTGGGCTAGCCAGTCTTTCCAAAATGTCCACGTTTTTGCTCCCTCCCAGCTCCCAGCCAATCAGGAACACCGAATAGCTGGTACAGGTGCGCTGGGAGCTGGGAGGGAGCAAAAACGTGGAGTGGCTGGGTTGAGAAACACTGATCTGGAGATACCAGTTGCCTGCGTTTTCATTTGTTGCTCCAGGATGAGTACCCTACAGGTGGTAATTTCAAGCGCAGTATCAGTGTAGAAGAATCTCAGAGTCAGAGCCAATCAGAGGTGAAGACCCGCTCCTTCTCTGCCTTTGATTGGCTCCTTAATGTGCTTTGTCCAAAAAAAAAAGCAGACCTGCAAAATGTTAAGTGCACCAGTGCCACCAAGGAAAAAAGATGAATCACATTAGAAAGATTTTTGGTCGCACTCTGGAGCCCTGCCATCAAAGCCATCAGAGCACCTACAGATTTAAGCAGGGCCACTTACATCCTCCACGTTCCCGGAAGTCCGATCTTTCCAGCAGAAGTGGATGAGGGAGTCGTCGGTCTGCTGGATGTAGACCTGCCCCTTGCGCTTGTCAGGGGTCACCGTGCTGCCTTTGAGGGTCATCTTCCCGGCCCTGAACTCCACCAGGTTCTTGCTGGAAGAACCGCGGGAGCCTGACACCAGGCTTGGGAAGAGCGCTCCAGACGACATGCCAGTGAAAGCCTGTGACTAAAAATACTAAAATGTCAGACGCTCCGCAAAGACCCAGTTCATAAGCTCATCATTAAAACCGCGTCAGTAAACAGCTAACGCCGTTCTACAGAAGCTGCGGTTAGTGTAAGCGGTTGCACCCCGCGAATAACCCCGCACGCACGGCCCCATGAGGTTTTCCAGTCGCTAAAGTGCGTTTTACTGTGCTAACCTCCACATTTGCTCCCCGAAATGAGTCCTTTTTCCCCCCAGAAAACAACACCGCTGTTCCCTAACCGCCTCCGGGATAAACAACCCTGCGCTGCCGAAACATTGTTAGCCAACAGCTACCCGACTAGCTAGCCGACGGTTAAATAGAATCGGTTAGCAAACTAAGCTGAATGTTTAACCAGAAAACGTGAGTGGAAATAGCATAGTCTACCCACGTGTACATAAGACCTCGACACAATAGATATATTTTGATAAATAGTGTAACTTTTCGGCGTTACCTTCGTTCCGATGATAAGTGAGATGCTCTGCTTCTGAGTAACCAGCCGTTGTCTACCGGAGGAACAAGACCGTGCACTTCCGCAAATCGGACGGGGGCTTCGGATTGATCGGAACGTTTAGATCTCTGGCCTTCGATTGGTCCAATGGATTGTCAATCAAACCGCCTGCGAGGCGCTACCATAGCCACCTGGGGTTGAATTTGCTGTGTCATAGAACAGCCTCTGCGCAACCCGTGTGTTCTATGTTTAGAATAATTGGTCCAAGGTGCAAAAGAAGCGTTAGAAACAAGAGAGTCGTGCTGTTGTCCTGAAAAATATTCTCAATATGTATTAATTTAACTTTACTTTCAAGTTTCACAGTTGCGCAACATCTGCCCACACGGGTTGATCAGACGCACAGTTGTCACGCACCGAGGAGGTTTCCTTAAACTTGGTGTTATGCAGTTTCTCTTATGTATCATCGTTTAGTATAAAACAGTTCAGTAAGTGAAAAAAGACTGGTTCACTAGTTGTTTATTTTAAAAAAAGAACAAACTTAAACTGGTTAAAATTTTATTACGATTTTTTTTTACATTAAATCAGCAAGTAACCTAATGAGTATATATATAAGTACTGAACATTTTCACAGGTCATGACACTTTCCACAGCGCCAACCCCAAGTTTAATAATTTAAAATATTAAAAATAAACCAGTTGCACAAAATATTTATTACTGCAAACATCCTTTGCAGTATTTGTAAATAAATGGAAATGTTTTACATTGCCAGTTGCATGATGCAGTTGGGACTGTAGATTAACAATTGAAAAGAAATACACAAAAAACACAAAGTAAAATAAAAACTATCATTTAATGGTGTTACATTAGTGATTTTTTTATATATTGCTAGTTTACAAATTACCAAATGTACAGACAGACAGTAATGAAGTGTAGGAACAACCAGCAGCAGAGCAATTTTTATATATTTTCTGTACAATCATGGTGAAAATATGTAGACACCTGCACAGTTAGTTCACCTGTTTTAACATGTAAATAACAATCAGGCATAAGTGATGTGCAACAGATTAGCAAAGCAGAACTTTTTCCCATAAATCAATGGGTTCTTGAAACATTTAATGTCAAAATAAAATGTATTTCATGAAATCTCTCATTATTTGATTACTGAAAATGAGGTCAAAAGCAACATGACATGCTTAAAACGAGTGAGAAATGTCTCCTTAACCCCAAAATATGCAGATACTTTTCAGGATATGGTGAACTCTTCCCATCCTGACACTCTGAAAATAACGATGGATATGTACATTCAACACACAGGCGTTATCTATTTAATTGTGACATCTATTTACACCTGCAGTGAGGGGGAACCTCAACCTTTTATGTAGCTTTTAAATTGTACACAGTTGACACACACACACCCAAAGACATTGTTGCTTGCATAGATTTGAGAGTTTTAGACCACAAGAAATTTTAAGTATTATGACAGGGTAAGTCTCGCGTATAGGATAAGGTACATTGTCAGTGATTAATGCCTAACATGGAAGACTACATTACTTTTAGAAGCTGTTCTACTGAAATGGGCTAATTTAGCTGAAATAATTCCTGTAACGGAGTAAATAAAAATATGCATCTGAATGCATAACGCATACTAGACCAGAAAACAACGCAAAACAAGCAATCCCACTGATCATCTGCCTGTAATCCGTAATATCTGCGCATACTAATGTTCACAATAATAAACTGCAATGTTTCCCAGGATACGTCAAAGCTTAAAAGACAATGAAGGGGGGTATATATATATATATATATATATATATATATAAATGATTATTGAATTTGGAAGCTATTTACGAGGTGGGGGTACACTTTCTGAGCTGAGAAAAATCATCCAACACTGTAAACTGCAGTCCAGAATCAAACAGAAAAACCACACAGCTTGTTGCTTTCCACGCGATGCACGTCCGGCAATTTTGCTTGTGTACATCTTACTGCTGTATATTAATGGTGGTAAATATTATAAACCACTTAGGGTAGGTTTAGAAACTGGGAAAACAAGGTACTAAGCAGCTGCTGTACTGTGTCACTTAAAATATTTTCAATACGCATGCAGGAAAATAAGAATTAAAACCCATAATTAGAATGTTCTTTAAATCACTGAATTAACATTAAATGTGCCAGGTCACACAGTCACTGCTGTTCTGTACATATGAGGCTTGACTGTCAGGATTGTGTTAAGATGCTATAGCTGTGGGATTAAGACTGAACGAGGAATACTGATAGAAAAGAGACCAGCAGCTCATTCTCCTGTCTACCACTGACATTACTATCCATAGAGATGTTACTATTAGGTTCTCGCAAAGGGCCTTCGCGTTTAAAAATGTGAAAAGCTTTAACTTTTGTTTTTTTTTTTGTACTCCTCCGAATAATGCATTACAATACAGGGACATCTTCGTACAGGTTTCTTTATCACTAACTATTCTCCATTTTCACTGCGCACATGCATCGGTGAACGGGTCAGCCCATTGGTCAATCCTATTTCAAAACATCCCTCAGCGGGCCAACCAGCAGCCTACTCTATGAGACAAGCAGAGGATCAAAAGCACAATGTCCTGGTGATCATATAAATAACGCAAATTACTGAAACAAAAGTTTCAGGCTCATTTTAACATTTTAGTACAAAAATAAAAGTGTTAATCTTTATACTAAAATTAACTGTGTACCCGAAGATCTGGATATTCTGTAAAAGCTGAGGTGGGAAGGATCAAACAATTTTGGTGGTCCGTACCATTGGAAGTTAATATGTATTCATTCAAGCCTCATGTGAACCTGCTAACGGATAGCAAATGATGTTCATATTGTACTGAGATGAATCCTAAGCTATCAGTTTGAAACACATAAACACAAAGGTAGTGACGACAGAAGTACAGGATCATGCAGTGTTTATACTGCACCTACTCAACAGCAAATAGTCCATCCAGAATGGCAGGTGATTTAGGTATCAGCACATACACAACAAAGGGACGTACTGATTAATGAAACAGTGAATAGCTATTAAGTGTCTAACTCTAGAAACCTAGAAAATTGTGCCTTATTTTAGGACTGTCAGGTTAACCATGTTAACCTTTCCCAATAGCTGAGAAACACCATTTAAAACTTTGATTACATGTTTTTTTATTTGTCAGAGGGCCTCTATCTACATAGCTTAACATTTACACATTACCAGTTTATACAGCTATACGTTTAAATGACCATAAAGCACCTTTGCTCCATGGTTCAACACCCATTTCCTGCCACAAGAACAAACTTTGAACTTGCAAAGCCATTCCATGTTCCTTAACCAACTTGTCTGCCTTGATTATTTCAATGCTGCTATTTCATTCCCAATAATGACACTGAGGTTAGCAAAATATATTCCACATACAAAATAAAGCCTCACATTTCATAACTGAGACATACTGGGCGACTTGTCTCCAAATACATTTCTACAATCGAGCGATGGTTTAAATCCCTGATTTTTACGTTGTTGTGACGGGTTCAGGCAGAACCGGCTACGTATATGCAGGGGTATTCATATGGATGTTGGAAATTGTGCTGAATAAAAAATAAAAAGAACAGATGCATCTAAGGATTTTAAGAGTTCCCACTGGAGACATTGTGATGATTTTGTGAAGGGATGTGGGGGGGCATGGCCCCGCCCCCACACCATCAGTAGATATTAGGACAGTCAGTGTAGTTCCTATCAAAGTACCCCCCAGTGTAGATCCAATCCTGGGTTCCCACATGTGGATTTGTGCCTAACTGGAACCACCTGGAACAGAGCAAAGCAACATGTTACTGAGGTGTTGCAGAAAGTTTTAAAATATTTCACTTCTGTACTGATGATGTTATTTCCTGTACAAGCTGATGTCTGTTCAGGTTTTTTCCTTCTCCATCGCAAAGCATCATTAGGATGTGTCTGCCAGGAGAACCGCCCCCCCCCCCCCGCCCCGGCTCACCGCGTGGACCATTCCTGCTCATCCTTGGCCCGCTCCTTGCGAGCCTCCCGCTGCTTCTCCTCCAGCCTCTCCTTCTCTTTGCTGGCCTGATCTGCAAAGATACGCAACACGCTTCAGCGTGTACCTATTCATTTTAATGTATAACAAGGGTTGAATCGATGAATATTTATCTCCTGGACCAGCAAGAATAGGTACAGATGGCGGTACCCATGTCTCCGGTCTCCATGGCCCGGATGTCGGGCCGCAGGCGGCAGTCCGTAGGGGGCAGCGCGGCCTCCATGCCTGGCTCCAGTTCGTTCAGGGTGACGGCGAAGCTGGTGAAATTGTACATCTGTGAGGCGGAAAACAAGAGGAAGACGAGGGCATGATGTTACGTCACTCGGTGCCAGCATTTAAAAACAGACACAGAGGGCACTTTCTGCTGGGGGTGAAACTCCCTGCCCCGTGTCATCGGCTGCGTCACCTCCGCAGAGTGAGCGGGCCGGGACGATATCCTCCAGAGCAGTGTGCTGCCAGGGATGACCGCAACGGTCTCCTGCACGTCCGGCATCTCGTCCGCGTCCTCGTTCTCGGCTCCCGCGACCTCCTCCTGCGGGAACGACGGCAGAGCGTTAGCGGGGCACACCCCCCTCCCCCGACAAAGAAATCAAGTGGATCAAGAAAATCCAGACAGCTGTGCAGAATAAATCATGCTGGATATCACACACTAGTATAATAAAGGACTGCGGGGGGTGCAGTAATGACTCAAGCTACATAGTGTACAATTCAGCACCGGAAGGTAAACAGAACTCACACAACTGGGGCTATATATCAAACCTGCGGTGACAACCCGCCCCATCCTACCACAGAGTAAACACTTTATAAGAGCAATAAAAACAATTCATCACATCACAAATCTGCTGAGCAAACTAAAAATCACCCTTCGGTAAATGAATGGATACGGAGACAGAATGGAGCAGGGTTACTATGCCTCTGATCAAACTCCCCAGCAGGGGGCAGAGCTGGGCTCCCAGGGGCGTAGTTTGTCATACCTGCTTCTGCTTTTTAGTGTCTCCCTTCCTCTCGGCCTTCTTGTACGCCTCGAATGCCTGTGGGTCGACGCTCCACAGACACTCCGTCCACTTGCCGTAGATTACGCAGCGTCTCTTTTTACTGGGAGGAAGAGAGGCTACGTGACCGACACAAACTCCTCTGACCGTGTACAAATGTACATCACTGCTAGATGGATAAATGTATCCAGACTGGCACTGTTAAACACATCATATATATATATGTAAAGAAATGAATTGTGTAGTGGGGGGGGGGGCGGAGTCCCACCTCTTGTCCTGGATGTAACCCTCCACTCTGTGTAGCTCCTTGCCAAACATGCCACAGGGCTTGAAGTTCAGCACACACTTGTCACCAGTACTGCCCCGAGGAGGAACAGGGGAGAGACAGGCAGAGAAGCGTTCCATCAAACCACACCTTCGCGTAAAAGCTCAATAACCGGACCAGTGACCTCAGCTGACGTTGCACAAGATGAAACATTAGGAGCGTAGTGACGCGGGCCCCAGGGTTGGGGGTGAGTGACGCGACTTACAGCGATCAGTCAGCGGCAGATAAGTAGCGGAGGCCATACCCTGTGGGGGCGCGTCCCAGAGAGCGAGTCCTGCTCACCTGTGATTGACGATCTCCACAGTGCCGTACTGCTCTATCCAGAGTTTGCCTAATATGACGTTATGTACACAGCAGAAAGGGTTTGTCCACGTGTAGGCCTCTTTGTGCCTGAAAAACACGCGCACACCCCACAATGACTATTATCTGCCTCCACCCATCATTTGTGATTAGAAAACTTCGGCAGGAAAGCAATGCACACAAACTATTGCACATATAACATATACAGTATATGAACATCATATTCTCACTATTCCGTTATTTGCAGGTTATTGTTCTGTATTGTTATACGGTATTTATCTCATTGCACTTGTACAAATGACAAAACTTCCTTCCTTCCCGGAGTCCTTGACCATAAGTAAATATATTAGGTGAGGTTTTACTTAATCTGTTTGAGCTTCTGGGATTGGTCTTTCCCTCAGACCTGAAGGGGGGGGGCAGTCTCACCTGAGCAGCTCCAGTGTGATGGTCCCACGTGGCTCCGCCTCTACGCTCTTGCCCCAGAACTTGAGTTTGGGGTAGATGGAGCCGTGGAACACGAAGTCGCCAGTGAGACTCTCGGCGAAGAAGGCGCTGACCGGGGGGTGGTGACTCACCTGCTCCGAGATTAACCTGTAGCCCTGCTCCTCCCTGGGGAGGTGGGGGGCACGGCGTTAGATTTGCGTCTTATTTCAGGAGAAAGTCTCGACCTCCTGCCTGTTTCTAACACACTCACACTGTGAAATACACAAAGCTGTCCACTGACTGCTATAAAGCAATGGGAAGTCATAGACTGAGAAAGAGGGAGCGTGTTTAACTTTGCTTACAGTACACGGTAACACCCCCTGGCTACAGAAGGGTGCCCTCACCGCGTCAGTTCGTAGGTCTCTCCCAGCAGTGGGTTGAAAGGTTTTCCAGTTCGGTCCCACTGGGACGCCACGGCAGAAACGGCAAAGGCGGCAACAGCCTGTGGGACACGGTGACATGAGGTGCATGGCCACATCCCCCCCCCACAATCTGCCCTCTCTCTGACACACGGGAGTTAAATCCCTCCATATGCCGCATGCCACAACGTCAACTAGCCCAGGTGCCTGGACAGAAGCCTCGCTTTACTTCACATTCACCTACATTAACCTCACTCTTCTTACTCGAGCATTAAAATTACTGCTCTTTAAATTCAAGGTTCATATTTGAATGAAAAAGCCAGGAGGATCTCACCTGCATGCGGTCGAGCGAGTCAGACAAGGAGCCTGCCTTGTGGATGAGGTATGTATGCTCCATGTACTCAGTGATGCGCTGCAGGAAACTCAGGGGCTCGTTGAACACTATGGGCATGGTGATCTTGGACAGCTCCTGCGACAGCCAAAGACGAGTGGATTTAGTCACACTGCTAAAGAGGTGGGCTATAGATAAATAATAATAATAGTCCTTTATTGGCCTTTGCATATGTACGTGTATAGGTACATAGGGATTTGTCTCTGTCTGCCCCAGCTTTCTCTCCCTAACTCAGGGGTCACAGCGCAGGGACAACCATCGCGTGGCGTCCCTGGAGCTGAGGATTAAAGGCCTTGTTCAAGGGCCCATGAACATGTGACTGTTCTGCTGAGG